CTATGCTCTAACTACGAAAATATTTGATTTACAAATAAGGAATCCTACTTCGCGGAATTTCATTTATCACGGTAGGGTCTAGAACCGGTTAACCGCAATAAACGAGGGTTCACTGTATATGTGTCTACGTCCATACTGTGAAACAACACAACGAAAGGAAGATGGAAAAGCCCAGGAAATCTAATCCAATGGGAAAGAAAGGCCCAGTTCATAGAGGAACTTTTCCTAAGGACACCACTGCAGACACAGCTGGCCCCACCCTGCTATCTAGCTGCGTGGCAAATTGTAGAGAGCAACGAGAACTCATTTACTCCGGGCATCCAACCAAAGGAGGGGCGTGCGTGGGTGAGGACAGGACACTTCCAGGGTCAGAAACTCAGTCTTGATGAATTAATCTCACACACACACACACACACACACACACACACACACCCGTGGTGAGGACAGGACACTTCCAGGGTCAGAAACTCAGTCTTGATGAATTAATCACACACACACACAGACACACACACACACACACACACACCACACCACCCTCACCCCCGTGGAGCAAGATTAAAGCAATTATGGAGTGCTGGCCTCCTTGCAATGCCAGGACCACTCTGCACTAGTCCCCAGTGCTATGACTGAGACCCACTGGTCGGTCAGCCCTGATGCCTTCTGGCTGTGCGATACGGCTGTTCTTAAGGAGCATGAGGTAGCAATTTAGACCCAGCCCCATCAATAAAAACACTGATAGCTAGCTTTCTACAGCCAGCTCAGGAACACATCTGTTGCCCATTGGTTGAAAAAGAACCTTCTTAGCCAAACAATAAAAATATCAATAGCTGAGGCCTGTGAAAAAATAACAAAGACATGTCATTCTAGTTGTGATTCTTCTTGCCAAATAAACTTCTCAGATTCTGCCATCGATCGTGGAATGCACCCAGTCACATGCCAGGCATTCAGCTGAGGGCACGGAAGTCGTAAGGCAAGGTCCCCCGGCCCAAGAAGCCGGCAGTGTGGAGGGACAGGGTACTGAGAAATGCACAGGGGTCCACATGGGGGGCTTTTGAAAGCTCATGGGAATGTGGGATGAGAAGAGAATGGATTTTTTGGTCCAAACACATTTTGAAGCCCCTTGTACGACTGCTGATAAGCATCTATGAAGCTCCTGTTCCAGGTGCTATATTGGTATCAACTCTCTTACGTCTCATAGGAACATGCACCTGGGTTGGCGGTCACTTCTCCTTTCACAGATACAGAGAAGCTTGTCCAGGGTGAGTAACTAAGTCAGTAGGAGAAGCTGGGAAAGGCATCCAGGCCGTCTGGCTCCACCCAAGAGCTCTGCTAAGAGGGAGGCAGCCTCAGACACTGTTCAGGTAAGATCTGCAGCTGGGTGGGGCCTTCCTGGACTCCGGGCATTTCCTGCAGCACCCTGTTGGTGCAATGGTCGAAGCATATGGCTGCTAACCAGGAGGTTCAAACCTACCAATTGCGTCCAGGGAGAAAGCTGTGGCAGTTTGTTTCCATCAAGAGTGACAGCAGTGGAAACCCCCTGGGGCAGTTCTACTCTGTCTTACAGGGTCACTAGGAATCAGAATAGACGCCATGACACGGGTTGGGCAAGCATTAGAGTCCTGGGTGGCGCAAACAGTTGGATGCTCAGACGATGAGGAAAAGGCTGGCACTGGCAGTTCAAGTCCACTCGGAAGCACCTCAGAAGAAAAGCCAGGTGATTGACTTGCAAAAAACGCCAGCTCTGAGGATGCTCTGGAGCAGGTTTCTGACACACAGGGTCACCATGCACCAAGAGTGGACCAGGGGGCCGCTGCGGACTGGTGAGGCGCTATCAGGGGAAGGAGAAAAGATCGGGCAGGGGTGCCACAAAGGCCAAGTGCAGGTATCAGAAATTATCAAGCAAATTATTTCTAAAGAAGCAGCACAAATTATTTTTAAGGAAGCCAGCACAGTTCAGCTCCTGGTTCTCAGGCAGGGTCCACCTCTGTGCATGCTAGTTCAACAGCAGCTGGAAGGAGAGCCTTGAAAAGCCAAGGAACTTCAGGTGAACACACCCCAGGGCAGCCTGGAGGCAGACCACACCTGGGCAAGCATTTATTTGCTCCTTCCTCTGCCAAAATCACACAGGAGACCACCGTCTCACGGGAGGGGCAGTTAGGGACTTCAGTCCAGAAGCCCTAACAGTACCAAACAGGAAACACTGAAACTAAATACCTCCCTAAACCAGTCTGGCAACAAAGAGAGAAAATAGGGGGGGGGACACACACATGTTCCAAAAGGCGTCGTTACAGCTGGATGGCAGGTGTTCTCCTCAATGCAGATTAGCTGTGGCTTTGTTCCGCTGCATACGAAGACATCCCCGTGCCCTTGAAAGGTATGAATCCCACAACAGGAAAATCGGAGAGGCACAAAGGTCACCTGCCGTGTGCCATAAACCGGCGGTTCTGAACACAGCTATTCTGAGCGCTGTCTTTCCCCAAGACACTTACTGTTAATTCACACGTTCTGAGCTATGCTCTGTGGAATAAGCGCAATTTACTGAATCATCCGCCCATAAAAATGATTCAATGATGGGTTACACACACACTGGTGCCAACTATTAAATGCCAGTCTGAGCCAACAGGCGTAATAGACAGTCTCCACATTACGGGTTATGTCCACCAAAGTTTGTTGATGGAAGCTGGCTGCTTGGAATGTGGAGGGGTGATTTTCTTCCTCCACAAATGGTGCTAGGTAGGGCGACTTGTGGTTGAGATAGACCAGAAAAACGGAATCCACCGTGATTAAGAATCTACAGCCCCTCCCCAGAGACCCTGGGCAGGGAGTCCCCGAGAGGAGTGAAGGTCCGAGCAGGTGATAGAAGATGAAGGGGTGAGGTCGGAGGCTGATGGAGGGCAGGGCACGGAGTTGCCAGGAGCAAACCAAAGTGGAGGACGAGTGATGGGAAGCCCCTCGGGGCACCCCTTACAGAGGAGGGGGTGTCCCACCAACGCTGCTATGGGTAGGGGTGGAGGGCCCGGGTGCTACATAGCCAGTGTTTGACTTGCTTTTCAAGTTAGGGGTTGGGGTTAGAGCCTGGAGTGAGGCCAGTTCTCCTTCCCCGCCCCCTTCTGTCTGTCTGTGGTGGGTTTCTGTTTCCAGGGAGGTGTGATGGGATCATGAGCCATTCCCCTCCCCTTCCAGGCCTCCTGCTATATTGGGGGGACCTGTCTGGTTTGGCTGGAGTCCCATGAGGGTATAGGGCCCTTAATAAAGGATAGCAAACAGGGAAAAAAAAAAAAAAAGAATCTACAGCCCCTAACCAATGGAAGGGAGAGTGGGTATTCTGATGAAGGAGCCATCCTAATTGTAGAGAGTCAGACACACACACTTGACTCTCTGACCTTAAGAATAAGAGGCCCTCTGTTTGAATATTCCCTTGACCTCTAGCAGGAGCTCCATTTTGGAGGGGCTGGGAAGAGGAAGCTGGGGCTCTGTGGGGGGACAAACACATGGAGCAGAGTGGGCAGGGCGGTGTGGGGAGGGGGACATCAAGAAAAAGCACTCCAACTAGTGAAACGGCAAAGCGGAGATGGAAGCTCCTGGTTCATTCCTCTCTGTCCAAGCTCCTTGCCACCCGTTTTCCTCTTCCCTGGGCCCCAAGATGCCGGACTCTGCATATCAAGGGATATCACACTGTGGGTTTCTGTATTCCCTCCAACACCCACCCGTGGAAGCTGAGAACAGACTCCGCTGCTCTCCCAACATGCATATGGGTCTTCAATGCTTTCCTAGGGGATTCGTGTTGCCAGTAATCTACACATGAACACACACACCCCAAGGTTAGAGACGTATGACAGATAAGTACATTAAACTGGGATTCATCTGCAATGTCATTTCCCCATTCAATACAAACATCTATACGACGCATCCACACACATATGTATGTACATGTAATTACGCATGTATAGAGGGAAACCAAAGGAAAATTCAAGTTAAATGGCCACTGATATCACTGCCTAGCCGTGAACTCGTGCATAAACATGAACGTCTGAGAGAAGAGCAGCAGGCCCAGGGAGAGGCGAACACTGCGGTGAGGGCGAGCTGAATACTCGGACCCGGCCGGCCATGCCACTAACACAGGGAAGGGGACTGACCTCCCCGTGGCCAAGGCTGCCCACACATTTGACCTCACAGCGAGACCCCGACTTACGGGAACTTCAAATGCCTCCTGGGTGTCATCCAGCATCTGGACTTTGATAGACGTGAGCTTTCCTGATGGGGTTGCAGGCAGCTTCTGTCCATGTTCCAAGGTACTGATCCCCGAGTTCTCAGGGGCTCCCAGCCTCGAACCTGGAGTTGGCTTCTGCTCAATTTCTCCCATGATTAACGTGGCTTATACAGTATCTGGAGGAAGCAACAAGAGAAAAAATATGTTAGAAGATGCATCAACATTGGGCTGCTAGCCAGGTCAGTGGTTCAAACCCACCAGTCGCTCTGAGGGAGAGCGATAAAGCTGACTCCTCCCATACCTATGAAGATCTACAGGCACTGAGCGTCAGAATCAACTCGATGGCAGCGGGTTTCACTGGACAGTATTTGACAGATTCTGGTGGCACAGCAGTTAAATGGGAGGCAGGCAGTCTGCTCTCAAAGAATTATAAAGTCGGGAATCCTACTCCGTCCTATTCTCATGTCATAGTGATTCAGAGTCAATTCAAGGGCAAGAGATGTGGTGGGGGGCAGGGGTGGGGTGAGGAGAAGTGGCATTTGTCTTCTCTTCATTATGGGAATTCTCCTAAACCACAGGAGGATAAAAATACTCAAGATTCTCTTTGTGTGTAACTTCATTGAAATCAAGCCCAGTGAGACATTGGTTCATTCAGTCACATAATGTCACCTTGAACTACTTGAGACATGCATATGGTTTTGCATATTTTATTATTTTGCATATTATTGCATAGTTATCTTTTCTAGTAGTCACATACTTAAGCTATAAAAGCAGCTGTGTTCAACAGATCATTACTTAGTGTCTAGAATGAGACAGGCACTACTTTTTTACATGTTTGAAGCCCAGTGGGAGGATGATACACAATAGACAAGTCATCAATTACCTTTTACGGACACAGCAATATGCTAAGTATTGTGGGTACTATACAGATAAACAGATAAAAGCACACTTGACTCTCAGGCTTATAATCTAGTGGAAGAAACTAAACACACATTAACACAGTAACTTAGGTAAAGTCTTTTTTCCCATCTCTGTAGATTGTTTTATGATAATAATCTTCCTATTTCCTTCCTACTCCCCCTGCTCCCATTTCCACCTTTTCCAAGAAGCCATTTAATCTATTCTACTGGGTCCCTATGAGTCAAAATGGACTCAATGGCAGTGAGTTTGGCTTCTGGTTTTATGTATTACTAGCAAAGGAGCCCAGCTGGTACAACGATTAGGCTGCTCACTCAAAGATCGGTGGTTCAAACCCACCTAGGAGCACAGCAGGAGCTAAGACCTGGCGATCTGGTCCCATGAAAATCACAGCCTAGGAAGCCCCATGGGGCTGTTCTACTGTCACCTGGGGTCACCCTGAGCACCCGACAAGAGCACTGACAGAAGAGCTCTCCTACCACCATACACGGCCATCACTTGCCTCCTGTCTCCGGGCACAGAGCACTTCTCGCTTGCCTCTCCCCCAGCTGCCCTCTCCGTGCTCACTCACCCTCCTCCTCACTGGGGGGGGTCCTTCTGGCAGAATGCCCTGCCCTGCTTCTCCCCCCTAGAAACTCCTACTGCTTCAAATCTCAGTGCAAATGTCACATTCCCATATTCGAAGGAAGGTGTCCATGCTGCTGCCCTCCTGTTCTCTCCCAGTCTCGCCAGGGTGCTCAATCCTTTTTGGGCTTCCTGCTAACTTCCCCCACTACCTAGTGACCGCCCTGAAAAACTGGACCCAAAGCTGAAATGCTCATTGAGCCTTAGCACCTACCTAGGCACAATGCCTGCCAGAGAGCAGAGTCTGATCATGGCTGCTTAAAGACTGGGAAAATGCATGGCAACATATGTACAAAGGTGCTTGACACAACAGATGTATGGGTTGTTTTAAGAGCTGTAAGGGCCCCCGATAAAATGATTTCTTAAAATAAAAATTAAAAAAGAGACTGGGCAAATGCAACAGTAAGGCAGTGTATCAAGTGTGGGAAGAGCAGGGGGGTGCACGGTCATTGTGGGATGACGTGGCTCAGAGAAAGGAAGCGTCCATCAAAGAGAAGGTAAGGAACTGAACGCTGCCGCCTCGACGTTGGGGAGACGGCTTGGAAGGAGAAAGGAGCCACGAGGAGCGGGCATCCAGGTCAGTGAAGGAACGTCGACAAGACGCAAGGACAGAAAGACGGCGGGAGGTGGGAAGAGGGCTGAGAATGAGTGGAGTGCTTAAGAGTTAACGATGCATTTTGAACAGATAGGGGGAGTCGGACTACAAAAGGCCTCCATTGCGAGCTGAAAAATAAAGTCTTCAATCTGTAGGCAGAAGGGAGCCACTGGCATAAGAAAACAAAACAAAACAAAAACACAAATGCAGAATTCCAGAAAATAGGAGTTGGGTGAAGAGGAATGGGGAGGTAGGTAGGGGGTGGTGGGAGTTCAGTTGTAAAGCTCTTTCAACCAACCACACTGAGGTGGAGCTTGCCTCAAGGCAATGGAAACAACAGGTGAGACTGTAAAACCTACTTTCCTTTCAGACTTGCCCTGGTGCTGTCAATGGTTAACTACTGAGAACAGGAGATTAAAAAGGATAACAATAATCAGAAAGCTGTGAATAGGCAGACTGGACAAAGTAGAGAGAAGGGGAGAGCTGAATTTGGGGCACTGTTTGGGGGAGGAACAGGATTTGCAAGAAAAGGCTGGCAGAGAGGTGAGCTGAATTTGGAGTGTGGATTCAGGGTTCATCTGTCTAAGGGAATGACCGGAGAGCTGAACGGGAAGGCGGGACAAAGGGTGCACTGAGAGCAAGCACGCCTCTCTCGGAGGCCAATGAAGAAACAGAAGAGGAGAAAGAGTATTAGAAATAATGACCGTGGGCCTTTATTATGGGACTGACCAAACACCCAGGGAAGTGGATGGAAGTAGCCATCTGGGGTGAGTGGTACTGAGCCAAAGTGCCGGCTGGGTCTGGCTCATGTATTTGCAATCACATGCAGTAGGCTTCTGCTTCCTAACTCATCCTCATCCTCCTCTTGAAGAATCACCTTCCCAGAATGTCCCCCATAAAGGCCACATCGGAATGCCTACACCTTCCTCGGGGGTCTGGCCCTGAGCTCAGCAGATCAAAAACTAGAGTCTGGCAAGAACTTGGACACTGTCTCAAATCACCACAGCCTGAAAGATGGGCCCTTTGATCAGACAGGGAAAGCGTAAGATCACCATTAAGCAACTGCCATTTGCTACTCTTTTCTCCCACACCCATCATGTTCCCAACCAACTCGGGCACCAAAACCACTCAACAAGTATCCATTCTTATGTCACCCTTTACAAATAGGGCTCGATAACAAGGCAATCTTAGATAAGGACTAATCTCTCTGAGAACGCTCCTCCTGCTTTGAATACCCATCCATCTATGACATCATAGTTCTATTATGGAAGTAATTACCTGATTACTTCTACAAATAACCCTTTCCCGTTAACTTTGTTCTAACCTATTTGATTCTGACTGAAGCATTGGTAGAATGGGTTATTAATCAATTGACAGACACCCAGGACCCTGTCTGAACAACCAAAGTGAGAAACAGATCATCAATATTTGTCCAATGAGCCAAATATTACTGGAATTTAAAAGTGAGTTCTGTTCAAAACAACTTTCATGCAAAGTGTGGAAAACAAAACAAAACCCCAGCTGGTGCCTGGCTATCAGGAAGAATAGTGTCTGGGGCCTTAACAGCTTTTCTTTTTTTTTTTAACCAAACAAACAGCCATCTATGTGAGATATCAAATAAGTGTACCTGGAAGAAGCACATCACCCTTGTGTGATCCAAGGATTGTAAACAATAAAACCAAATCTGAAGAAGGGAACAGTATCAGAGCTTAAATTCTGAACATACAGTTTGCTGAGGACTATAGATTACAGTGGACCCCAAAATCCACTTACAGGGTCCCCACATGGATTAAGCCTCCAATGAACAACCTCTGATCATAACCCAGAGATGTGAGTGGCCTTGCTCCCGGGAAAGAGCCTTGTCAAGTCAGTTATGGCAGAGGTCTTGGGTTAAAATGCACTACCTTATCATTTATCACCCTTTTGACCTACTTTAATGTTGTTCCGGTAATTAATACTTTCTGCTTTCTTCTCAATTGCGGTTTTTGTTTTGTCATATTTGTTGTTCTTTTCCATGTTACTGTTTTGTATGATTTTCTGTACGTGAAATCCAGCACAGGTAAGTCTATAGCGACAGTAACTGGATCACTAGCTACCCAGGGGCTTGGCAGGGGACACTGGAGGGGTGGGGGATTGGAAGATATGATGAGTACAAGAGAAGAAGGTGGCATTTATATTTTACGTTAAAAAAAAGAAAGAAGTGTTCTGAAATTGATTGTGGTGATGATTTCACAACCCTGCCTAATATGACTGAACTATTATATTTTACGGTATGTGAAGTATACGCTGATAAAACTATTTTAAAGAGGGTGGGGGACAATCTTCATAACCAAGATAAAATGAGTCTCATCTCCATTTCCTATGTGTTGTCTCAGGAGTAAAATTTTTTTTCATACTATCATGTTTTACTTTTTTTTTTTTTTATGCTTCAAGTTTTTATTTTATTTTTTTAATCATTTTATTAGGGGCTCATACAACTCTTATCACAATCCATACATACATCAATTGTGTAAAGCGCATTTGTACATTCATTGCCCTCGTCATTCTCAAAACATTTCCTCTACAGGAGTAAAATTAAATATAACACCCCACCCCCACCCAGAAGAAAACCGACATTCGGGTTTGCCTTCCTCATTTGAGCCTCCTCTTTGCATTTTCCCTACTTTGGTAACTCTCCTTCCCTGCCCCCCACCATCCACTGCTGCCTGCCTCCTTTCACAGGCCTTCTCTAAATGCAAAGGCCAGGCCTTGGTCATTTACGTTTGGGCACCGCTATGCGATCAGGGAGGAGAGGCTGTGGGTCTGGCTGTGCTCCTGATGCCAAGGAGCTGAGAGGACAGGGGCACAGCCCTCTTTTCTGAAGTCACCACTCCGCCCCCAACGTGATGGGACCCTTCCCTAAAAAGACATTTCCTCCGAGAATGATGAGGGCAATGAATGTACAATGTGCTTTACACAATTGATGTATGTATGGACTGTGGTAAGAGTTGTATGAGCCCCTAATAAAACGATTAAAAAATAAAATAAAATAAATATATA